TTGAAAGAAATAGATTCCGGACCATGATCACCGAGGCGGATTTCAGAAGAGAGAGGGACGTCCGGCAAGTGTTTCAAATGAGTTGACTTTTTTTGCGATCCTGATTATTGTTTTATAGAGACCATTTAGTTCCTGTTAAGTAAAAGGTAGCAATAATTTTGACAGTGACACGAAAACGAAGCGTCGGACAAACAGGAAATTACACAGCCCTTAAAAACTGCCAATTGTTTTCATTTTCGAAGGCTAAAAGTTTCAGAATTGTTTGGTGATTGGTGTTGAATGTCCAATTCACACCTCTAGCTTGATCTGCGTAATAATTTATGAAATAAGAATCCGGGCTTGGTCAATGTGTTTCCACCAAATAAAGTTTTAATATGGTGTTTTAATTATGACAATCACGCCATGGATCACGCTAACTCGAATCCACTCTGAATTTATCTGTACGTGTGTCGATCTCGATTATTTTTGTTATCCAATTAAACGCCGCTTTTACAGACTGTAACGCACTTGCCCTCGTTGTGACCCGACGCGTTCACCTATTTCAACAAAATTTCAATTTATTTCCACGCGGCTGTCATTTATTTAGTAACTGTGATGTCGTTTTTTTAATTATTTTATAGTGATCACTATAGTCTAATGTTTAGAATGTCAAAATATGTTCTCTTTTATTTTAATTTTAAAAGTTTTACTCAGACGATCGATGAAAAAGAACAGTGTAGTGACGTGCCTAGTGACCTGCTAAATAACGAGATAATTCCGACGTCAAATTCTATTTTGTCCAGCAACAGTGTACAAACGTGCGCCGCTGATGATCACGGTGACCAGCTACACCAGAACAGACATATTTCGCATCAAACTCAACCCCATGCAACAAAAATTGATACTATGTGTTCATTGAGGCTCATTCCTTCTCGACGAAAATATACATAAGTGAAAATTTAGTCAAAGATGAGAAAACTGCAGAAGAAATTTGCCTTATTTACACGTATCGGCGATGCAAGCTGCCATGCGACTTCCCCTTCTGACGTCACAAGGGGAATTTCTGTATGCAAATAAGAAGCTAATGAGGAGCCTCGTTTTAAAATACACAAAAATAAAGTTGCCGTAGATTGAGTTTAAAACACATTTTTTCACTTAAAAATATAATTCATGCTTAGAAACATAAAAATTAATAATATTTATGTATCAATGGATAATTTAG